TGGTTGGCCACTAGTAGCTGCACCCGTACATAAAAGCCTGTGGGGAAGCATGTAATACTCTGGATGTCCAGCTACAGCACTTTCCAGCCCACCATAGGGACTGAGTGGAAGGACTCGCATGTCCTCACCAACTTATAAAAAAGTGATTGTTTCACTGAGGAAGTTAATTTGATCCCAGTCTTGTACTCAAGTTGATGAAATTACTGTCCCCTTCACTTGGCAGCAAGAATCAAGTATTAATTACAGTTAATCAAACTTTTCAGATTATAGAGGAGTGTAGAGTCAAAAATTGGACAAGCGCTCACTGGATCCATTCAAAGCATGTCAGAGCATTAAAAGTGCTGAGTGGTCTTTTGCTGAGGCTGAAATTGCAGAGTATTAGCGAGTTATTAACTTCCCCTAATAAGAAAATCCTGCTTCTGGAATGCAAACGAGGTAAGAGAGCAGTTAGGTGACAATGAGTGCATCGCTCTGCCACTCATGGGATAATAATGATGTGTTCATCCATGCACAGGGTGAAACGCCTGGCCGTCCCTAAGCCCTGGTCTAATGCGGACATGTCAAATGTCAAACCAGCTTTTTCTGTAAGTGTCTAATCATGACATTGATTGCCACGGGTCATAAAGAGCCGCTATTCATCAGAAAACTGCCAAGGGATTCTTGTCTGTGGCTGTAATGTGATCGGGATGACCAGATAATGATTGGTGCTGGCTCATCAGGGCTGGTTCATCTTTATTCATGTCTGTATTGATCTTACAATAATTATTTTGTAATTGTAAAAACGCACAGCATCAGGTGCATAAATCACATTTCTCCACACAAAAGACAGCAACTTAATTGTTATGACTCTATTATTATCAGTCATTGCTTCATGGATTATGAGACAATAGGGCCCAGGGTAAAAGGCCCGTATCCCTCTTACACTTCAGGGACCAAGATCCACCAATGGAGAAAACACGAGCTTTGTAGAGAATTTGCGTCTTCTTGTGGTTGTTCTGAATTTGTTTGTAGCATTTGTGTTCATTTTTACTTGTTTTGCATTTTTTTTTTGCCTATTTTTTAAACTTGTTTTGTGTCTATCTTAATTTTTTATATATCTTCTTGTAGGTGTGTTGTGTCTCTTTTGTAGTTTGGCATATTTTCTATCAATTTTGGGTCTTTTTTTTCAGTTTAGTCATTGGTTTATTGTGCGCTTTTCATATCACTATTATTGTAAATGTATGCTCTTTAGCAATGCTAGTGACCTGGTGAACATGGTAAACGTTATGCCTGCCTCAGAATGTTAGCATGTTGACACTAACAGAACCACCAGCATGGCTGAAACTTATTTTAAAGAAAATAAATACAGTATGATGATGAACAAATTGAAATGTATGGATCCTGCAATGTACCTGTAATGTGTAATTTGTCAAGCTTGCTATCTGTTCTGTAACAAAAGGAAATGTGATCAGCATGTGTGCAAATAAAGCCATTTACCAGCTAATGACAAATGTAGAAGCACTGGTTTACAGTCCACAATCCAAATCTTTGACCTTGATATATTGAAACCAATCAGGAGATCCTTGACACTAAAAACATATTAAGCAATTACAGTGGCATCTGCAATTTCATCAAATTTAGCAGCACAGCAGAAAAAAAGCAAAACAGCAATTACTGTAAATGGAGTAAAACACATTGTTCAGACCTGATGATGTGTCAGTACCTTTTCTGCCTCCACTGCCAATTGTTTGGTGAAATTCGGTGTGTGACATGAAGTGTGTGACATACAGAGAAAGCACACCAATACATAATACAGATGGAAAGGGGGTTGGCATCAATTAGCAGGCTGCATGTTCCACTCTGCATGTTGCTGTGTTTCTGTAGCCTGCGCCAGAGCGCTTGCCATGCATCAGTTGTCTACATTACAAAGCCTTTCAGAAATGTCATTAGAATCAATGACCTTTCAAACAACAACCAGCATGGTCAAACACAATGTTTTAAAGGCCTAGGAAGTCAGTTCACAAAACATCAGCTATATTGTATTATATGCATGTTTTTCAATTTTATTTTCTGCTTTGTTAGAATAAGACCTCCCGCCACAGGTTTTGGCTTTGACAATAAAGGTGAGAGAAAAAGCAGGAGTGTGCCACTTGTGTTGTTAACATGCTTAGGAAAAGCTAGATTCCTCAAAATTTTATCTTAGGTTAAACAAAGCTGTTTAAATTGAATTTGCTGCTATGCTGAGTGAAATAAAAATACTTTGTTAAAACTAACAAACCTCTTCAGATTTAGATTCAACCTCATTAAATCCTTTCAAACTCATCCCCAATTAAAAATAATAATAATAATAATCTCTTCTCTTCAGAGCTCAACAATGTCCAAAGATAGTTTTCACATAAACACTTTGGAATCTTAACAGAGGAAACACACAAACATGCCAAACACATTAACTCATATACTGATAATTTTCATCCAGGTAATCCCACCTCATGTTAATGCTAGTTTTAACTTGAAGAATAAGAATAGGAGGCTTGTGGCTGAATGTAGGAACACTCTCTGATTTTTTGTGTCACATTTATCATCAGATCTCTTCAGGGGGTTCATCCCATGGCAAACACTATTCCCTACTTAGTACCTCCAGGATAACTTTCACTCAGGCAGCTCACAGTCGAATCAGTAACTTACTGTATCTCAAAGGAAGCCAGCACTGTGCAGCTCAGTTTTTCATTCTCAGGCTCTAATATAGCACTTTCCCTTTACTGAATTTGCCAAAAGTAGATAAAGGGATAATGATGTTCTGTCCTGCTGTTAACAGCACATTTCACCCATGGATCAATTCATAGATTGGCTTGTAATTTCCCCTCTAAGCATGAGGAGGAACGTGTGAAACAGAGTAGAGAGCATTCTAATTTGCTCCAACTGGCTCCCTCCGGTGGTTCAGACAGCTCTGATGTGTTTCTAATTGATTTCCATGGCATCCTCGGATGAGCTACAAGAGAGGAGCAGGAAAGGTACACGGTGTGTTGCACATTTGCAGGCACCAAGACAATGGTTAGAGAGTGTACTTAAGTTGTCCTCTATTCTCCTTCACATCTAATCAATCATACCCATGAAGTAAAAGTAAGTAAAAAATGATAATTAATAACATTATCAGTGGATACTGAAATGAATAATGGAAGAGTATCCAACCTTGTAATTTGTACATCTTCAGGTACTGAAACATGTTAGGGCTGACTGATACTTAGCAGCTGAGTCATCCAGTTTTAATCTTTACCAGTAACAGATGAGGCAAAGCAAGTCATAAGAAAGTTTGTTAAAGGTCAGAAAAAAACGTTCTCTATTAAAGTCTGAGGATAACACTATCTAGTATTTTTCAGCTGTGTTTGACAGGCCACTTAACCACCCAACTCTGTTCTCCAGCCAGAGGGCTGAAAACCAGCCCCTGTGTGGGTCTGAGTTGTCTTTTTCTCTTTAACACTTGAACAGTGTCATGTACGCAGCATTTATCTTCATGCAGCAAACTAGATGGCAGAGGATTTAAGAGGGCAACTCTCAATCTAACATAGTGCCAGAATATAAAGAAGGCTAGCTCCTTGCTCAAATGGTTTTGGCTTTGAAACAGGATGGATACACGTGTGTCCGAAAAATAAAGAAATGGCAGCGAAGATTAATCACTGACAGCTATTTTATCATCTGGTTTTATGTAATCTTTATACATTGGCGCTTCAATAAACATATTAGTATGTTGTTGCCAATCGATGAGTGCGGACAGACGAACCCAGGAGATCAGTGACGTCTGGATGCAAATTAAACGTCTGAACTCTTCAACCTGCTCTTAGTGCTGACCCAACATTTATCAAACATTCATACCTGCAAAGCTGTTTGCATCAGCACAAGACCCATAGTCAGTTCCAGGCTTCCAACTGGAGGGCTGTCAGTAGTTTTTCCCTGTGTGAATTGAACACCTGTACCCCAGGATATGTTGTTAGGTATAGCTGATGATGTATTCCTCTGATCAGGGCTCGGTTTGATCACATCTGTGGTTGCAGACTTGTCTCAGTTGTACCCGGAGCCATTTGTTTATTAACTTAATATTAACTACTACTCTATAGCTATGCTTCCCACTAAATGGTGACAACAGTTTCTTCATCTTTGCCCATTCACTGTGTATAGTTATTTACATGTACAGTGATTCTTCTGCCTCTCAGTGAAGCCATAGATTTACCGTTTATTCTCATCAAAGTGTTGCTGCCATATTCATTACGATCACCTATTAATATTGTGATTTTTTTTTTTTTTTTACAAGTCAATGTGTTCTGGACAAACTGAATCTCTTTAAAACATCTCATCTGTCAACAGTCAGACAAAGTACATGTTAGGCTAACAGAGTCAGATGCTGACGACATTATACGCCTACAGAGAAATGCTACAGTCTCCATGCCACAGAACAGTGCAAAGCAGCAAAAGCTGGAGTTGAAACCCCTGTCTTCAGTAAAAATTCTGTCTTTGAAGGAGCTAAGGCAGCTTGCTCCCATATGTGATGGGGGATGTGTGGCCAGTGTCAGCAGTGGAGAAAGCTCCTCAGCCACCACCTGACTAAATGGAAGCATGGGCAGGTGAGTTACCTTATAAATCGCAGGGATGCAGACTTGGCATCTTATGTCCAAACAGGTCATCCATGTCAGTCTTATACATTTGCATTGCATCTTTCTCAAGACTCTGGGCTTGAGAACTTTTACAGGCCTGCGAGTTTATACCTAACATTAATTTCATGACTTAAACAATTTGATGATAGCACAGTTGGAGCCAGGGAGGGGCTTGGGGTGCTGTAGCTACTCCTGGGATTGCCATTGCACGCCAGGGAAATTTCTGTAAATTATTTTGACTTGTGTTTGTGTGTGTTACTGCTATAACTTGAAAATGAATAAATACATTAATAAAACAAAACGATGATTTTCAGACTAAACTATAAAGCCAACACAGGTGATCTGAGTCAGACAATTAGATTCACTTCCTGTTAGCCAGCACAACGTTTTGGAGCTGGGACTGGTGTTGGCCAAGCAAAGTATTCATAGTCATAATGGATTGTTTATTATTTCATAAACATCCATCTGTGTAGACTCAATCTAAGGTAGAAAGAGAGTGGTTGTTAACCTAACCTAGCTACTGCCTCGTTTGAAAAACTGCTTGAGGAACTAAACCAGAAACCTGGCACCTTTGGCTATAAACATTGAGAACAGTGGCTCTGGACAGTGACAGAGCCACACTCAACCACGGCAGGCACATTGTTTTGTCTAATGGTAAGTGCATGGGTTTCCCCTTTGTTGCCTGTTGTGATTTTAATGCATTTTGTGGTCGAGGCACAAACTCTGACTCCTTTTCTCTGAGCTGTGCTCATTCATATTACTAGGCCTACATTGGGTCTGCGTCGATGTGCTGGTAACTGGCAGCATGAGTTTGTGATCTCAGGATCTGTGGACCGTTGTTTGCTGCTTTGCGCGAAAGATCACACCATGACACATTCAGAGGTGCGTTAAGGTAGGATGGCATGCACAGCTCTGTATCTCATGGGGTCACTGACTCGCCTTGTGTTCAACACAATATTGTTGAGGGCGCATGACTTGGTGATGTGCGCGATCCAGACAGTCAGTCCAGTGTTACGTGCATCCTATAGAGGCTATAGGCTTATTTAGTGTTTGATGGGTATATGCACCATTTACCTGTGACAAATACCAATTTGTTTCTGCTGTAGGGTTGTACTTAATCAAAACAATGGCTTAGATTTTAATTAAACTCAGGAACAGGTAATTTGTTTATAAATTAAGTTGGTTTAGCTTAAGGCTTTGGGGGCTATTTTTGGGTGATAACATTGGAGTGGACCACATTCTTGACCAGTTAAGAAAAGAAATAATATAAAAAGTATTAAGCTACCACCTAGAAAGTAATTTTCTAACGTTTATCTATTACTTTTATGAAATATAGCCTAGTACATTTGACAAGTAACTTCCCCAACACTTATGGTGACACACAGAAGTGGTTGGAAAGTTGTTCCTCAATTAATGTAATCTCAGAGAAAGATTTGTTCCCACTTTAAAACGACGACAACAACAAAAAACATTAAACATCTTACTGCTCTTTCCGAGGGTTTACAGTTCTACACTGAAAATCTTTAATGGATAGTTTCCCCTTTTCCAATTTAACAAGGCCTATTCTTTTGAGTCTAACTTTTAATTAGTAGAGAGGATCATTCTGGCTGCTGACAGTAACTCCCTACGATAAGCCCTCCACCAAGGCGGCATCATTATTCCATGTGAAGTCCCAACCTTCCTCTGCTGGAGTGCTGCCAGCAGAAACTGAGCCACTGTGGTTTTTTTGGGATCTGTACACTTCAGACGTGGTGTTTAGAGGCAGAGCCCGTCTCTGGAGACAAGATGTGTGCTTACAATGCAGATTTTATATGTGTCATTTTTAAGGGGTTTGTTTGCATGGCTCCTTTAAAATGGACACACTGTGAGAGAGTTTATGTATGGATGTTTTAAGTGAATGTGTCAGAGACTGAGAGAGCAGAGAGAGTTGAAAAAGTTGAAGGAGGTGTCCTAGTCATCACCTTTGCAGCAGGGCGCATACTTCCATGCTCTCTATTAATTTTATGCTATTTCTATTCGAGAAGCTCTATAAATATGCAGAACAGTGAGATGATAAAATTTCCCATCTCAGGAATTGCAAGGTAAGAGGAACTATTGAGGTGACCTGAGATGAAGACGAATCCTGATGGCGAATGGCTGGGAACCACCTCTAGCATTTTAGCTCCAGCTGTGGCTTTTAGCTTAACAGTGTCACTGTTATAGCACATGACATGGACTGCCTTAGTATGACATACAGTACAGTACTCATCCATCCTATTACACTGCCCACTGTGTTTAAGATAGACAGACCATGTTTTAAACAAATGTACTCTTTTCTCTGTTTCAGCTGTCTAACACCTTCTGTACTGTCCCTGCACTGTATAAGACTGTAGAACGGCTCTTACTGTAAATATGCAGCATTCACTTCAACGTGTTCTTTGTTCCATAAGGAGGAACATAACCATTGCATAAAATGTTGGAAATATTTGTGTGAAAATGTTCTCCCTCTCAGAAACTATTGTAAAAATGAAATCACCAAGCTTTGATTTAAACTCTTTTCCCCATGAAATGATGTTTTATTCATGTGCTTTTCCAAACTAAAAAGGCATACTGTACCTCCTTTTCATTTGCCTGGGAGATTTTTTCTTATTAAGATTATTCTCTAGGCTGTGTGTTAAGTTTGATTGGTTGTTTACACATAAATTAATTAACACCAGTGCTAATTTCAGCAGCTTTACAGCAAATCCTCCTAAGGCGACCACCTCTCTTTCCATCTCGTTAACAGAAGGAAGATCAGAGTTGCTTCCCAGTCTCAACTTCATAGCACAGACACCACAATTGCGGTTCAGTAACTACAGTAACAGGAAATAAGCTTACATGTTCAAATCAAATGGGACTTGTGTGAAAATGGATCTTTCACTCTCTCTGAATGTCTCAAAGTAGTAATGGTGGTACTCATATCATCCACGCTTCCATTCTTGACACCCTCCCAGGACAGCCTCTGTATGCCACACAGCGTTTGTTCTAGGGATTAAAATGAAACTTAATATGGTGATTGCAGCAGGGAATTAACACAAAGTTTGCTCCAGAAGCTTTCTAATACAAAGTGCAGGTATATTAATCTCCAGGCACGTGTTGTGCCACGAAGTACAGTGATCTCTGCTTTGAATTGGCATGTGCGAGTCCCTGCGATGTCACTCTTGCAATTGTGGATTGCATTCAAGAGGGTCATGTAACATCCCTGCAGTCATTGTATGAAGACATACAGTAGTGCAAAACATTTTCTGAGTGCAAATAAATGACAATTATATAGATTTTTAACATGATCTGTGAAAAATTAATTTTAAATTTAAATGTTTTTTTTTTTACTGGTAAAATTTGAGTTGAACTTCACAGCTTCACTGAGTTCTACAGCAATATTTTGTTGCTGTATCAGAGGTTGCATACTATTTTGAATCTTAATTACTTTCCCAAGCCTCAGATCAGTTCTCTGGTGACAGCATTTATAATGAAATGGCATAATGCAGGGTTTTCCAGCTCATAAAGCCCAATACAAGGTTTAAAAGTTTCTGTTTCAGACACAAAGGGCACAATGTAGCCCAGAAAACAGCTTAGTCTTTTTCTGCATATTAGGAATGTGCTTCGCTTTTTTGTTTTTCATTTCTGCTCAGCTTAACACAGAGGATACTGCTGGCAACAAAGAAAGCTTCTATTAAAAATTGAATTCATGAACCTTTTATTTGCTGTTTCAAATGCAAATCAAAGGTTGCCTTTGCAGCGAGGATGTGACACGGTGGAAGCTTTTAAAATCCACTTGTTTTTAGACAACTACTGTAGGTAAAATGGATGTGAGATTTGCACTACTGACAATGAAATTTCCACCATCATCGCAGTCTGTGAGGTCCAAAACCCCCACAGCATCAGCAAGGTATTATCCTTGTAAAGAAAAGTGGTGCACTTTACACATGGTAGTGGCACCGAGTACAAAGGGAGGAAACGCAGTATTTTCTCTCTGAACCTTTTAGTTGAACGTCCTTCACTTGTTCTCTGCTGATGAATACTGTTGATCTGCATGTGGAGGTCTCTTGATTTGACTGCATTCAGCTCACCATGTCTAATTGCTCATCACTACATGCTGTGGTCAAGGCCTTGGGCTACAGGCAGGAGCAGGTTTGTGAATTCAGCTATGATAGAAGTCTGAGTGACAGCTTCCTGGATTTAATAGTATACAGTGACTGAACTATATGCCAATGCAGTGAACATTGAGAATGCATCTCAATAAAATTATTGCTAAGGCTTGCTGTCATTTTACATTCCCTCTGTTACAGCACTGAACAAACTAAAGACAGGAGAGGAGACTGGGCGTAAACCACCTTTTCACAGTCATCTCTTTTTTAGCATTAGATGTGCACATTTGCTTGATATGACAGGCCATTCATTATAAAATATGACACTGCAAGATGTCATTCTGCTTCCAGATTTAGGATTCAAGTACATGCACATTTTACAGTAGTTTTAAAAAAGTATCATTATGCTTTGTTTATACCCATCTTGGACAAAGGTGAGCAGAAAGAAATGTAATCCCACTTCTTTTCTGTCAGAGAAACATAAGTGATACATGAACACTGCAGAAGTTGTGAGCAGGACAGAATATGATGAGATAAAAAAGCAAAAACAACTGGATTCCTTGACGCCAAATGTTAGTTTCTGATAACCTCTATTTCACAATAAAAATGACTGGCTGTGCAACCGATATTACTATAGGTATAAAATGCAATAAAATAAGCTTTTATACATTTATGCAGCTGCACACACAGTATAATCATCAGGATTTACTCCACTGACTAATGAACTCACCTCTAGCAAAAATAAATTCCCTTAATTTTTCATCTGCTGCTCATCAAACTGGATCTGGGTAATGTAAAGTTTTCCCCTGCTGACTGCTTACCTCACATCCAGTATGAAAATAATCTGTAATGCTTCTTTAGTCTCTCCACTGCCCAGAAGCGCTGAAATTGGTGTAAACTAAATTATTCCAAAATATTTATTTAAAATGCTGCATTGATTTTGAAAAGTTGATAGTGTGACCATTTTCTTCAGTTCTGTGGTTATAGAGAATAAGATTTAAGTTCCAATAAGTATTTCTTTAATATTTTTTCCCATTATTTTACAAAGCATAATAGTCTTTTAAAACAAACAAACACAATTACACCAAGCAGTGAATGACTAAAGATCTTCGTGGGTTTGGATTTTCGTTGTAGAATTCCCAACTTTCTCTTCTCTTTTTCGTTTCTGTGTGAGATTCCTGTGTGCACAGCCATGCAATCTTATGCCCTTTTATGGACATTGGCGGGCCGTTAACCTATGCTAATTAAGAACAAATGGCATGAGCTCTTAACTTAACACATGGGATTCACTAATATAAGAGCAGGTGCGAACAATTCCGCGGTTTAAGAACGCGGGTGAATCAGATGTAGACTTTTCTTAGGATCTCTCTGAAAAACAACTGCTGAAGAAATTTAAAAAAACATTTAGGTAGATGTTGGTGAATGAGACCCATTCTTTTTAATTACATTAGTCCCATGTTGATGATTAAGAGCTGCTCCATATGTCTAACACACCTGGAGGTTTCTCTTTAATATTCAAACACAATGACATGACTATTGCACATGCTAATTAGATTTAAGAAAATGTTTCTCTTTATACCAGATATGCATGAAGACAGACAAATTATTATCCTCTCCATGGGTAATGAAGCCCTTTTGTTGCATAAAATTTCAAAGTAGAAAGGCAGACTTAATCATTGCAGATGGAAGTAGTGATTAAGCAGTAGGCCATCGGTGGCACCATTTCATCTTGACAGGTCTCACATGGTCACACAAGCAAATCTTCTTGTAGGATCAGCAGCTAATTGGGTACGCTTGGATTATACTCACAGTTCAGAGTTTTAAGGGGTTAACATGATTTTTTTTTTTATGTTATCAACATAGAAATGAGAGATTCTGGTCATTTTGCAGGTATATTTGCATAACTACAAGAGAGAATTTCTGTAACTGTGTTCTACTTTCAGCGCTGGTGCTTCTTTTCTGGCTAGTTACAGTGTTAATAAAGCTGAAAAATATACAGGGATTGCATGTGCAAGGAAACAAATGTACAAATATAAAACAGTTGTGAACTGGTACTTGCGTGTTTGCTGCCAGATTTCTGGGGTGTACTGTACAACTATGCTTGTATGCTCAGACAAACAATATTTTTGAAGTTGCCACTAATGAGACTAATATAGCAGGTAGGCATGTGCTCTAAAAGACTTCCGCTGTTTAGTGAGTTGGGAGAGCAAATGTTTCATCAGTACTCAAGGGACATCACCCAACATTAGTCTGAGCAGATGAGAAAACTGGCAACAGGACTGGCAACAGACAAACACATGGATCAATGCAATTAATTCAGCAGAGAAGAGAATCAGTTGGTGCACCTCATTATATCTATGACAGAAATAGACTTTTTAAAAACTAATAGGACCGAGAGAATTAATGTAGTTTGAGGTCCAGCGTCTCAGAAATGCAACAGAAGACAAGAATTACAGAAAGTACCTACTGTGTTGATGAGACTTATTATATTTTTATTGTAAATAAATTTTCATCACAGTTTCAGTTGAGGTAACCAGTGCACACGTTGTAGATAGACTGACACACCCAACCAAATCACAGAGTCTGTTCACAGTGTACTTCTCTTCAGTGATGCAGTAATCGTAAACAACATTAAATAAAGTCACTGACGGCCAAACAGCAATAGTATCTGCGGCGGAGCAGGCAGACTCTGTAAATTCTTACTGGTAGATGTTAAGACTCATTCAGTTTTTTTTGGAATAAAACATCGTCTCCAGCTTCATGGATGAAATTGAGTCTGTTTACTGCAACCAGATAGCAGAGCAGTTTTATCTGCAGTCTGTCTTGGGCTGGCTCATTAACAGAAGACAGCAGAAGACCTTATCTTGGCTCTCGATTGGTTTGTTTGTTTGCTGGCTTGTATTCTTTGATTTAATCCTTAGAGTAGATAGCAGAGAGCTTGCATGAATTGTCATGGCCTGGATTATTTTCCTGATTTCAGCTCTAACTTATTCACTGCTACCATTCTAAGTGCCTTGCACAGAAAAACCTTACTCCTCGGAGGAAAGATTGAGAGTCATAAACTCTTCATTCTTCTTATCAGTTCGGCAGTTTTAATCTTCTATGTACAGTATAGCAGCATCTAGGAATCCCATAAGTTTTTTATGAATTCAGCATACACACTTTATTTGTTGCCGTAGGTAGCTTGATGTGATTCACTTCTCATTTAGAATACAGTCTTTATCCTGAGAATCAGGGGGTGATTTATTTACTGTATACATACATACATCAGCCTCATACATATAGTTCTAACACAATGTTTTAGCAATTCCTTACTTTCCAATGGTAAAAATTGGAAACATTTATATTCTCAGAATATTTGCTTTTACCACAGGCACCTGCAGCCAACAAGCATCATTTTTCTGTTTATCTGTAGATTAACAAATGAGAAATAAGTAAACATGTTGCAGTACAACATTTTAGAAGTGATTTAAT